CTTTCAGCAAGAAAGGTTGTATCATCTACTTTAGCTTCTCTACTATCGAGAGAAAGTTTCAGAGGCTCTTCTGACATCCATTTTGACTTTTTCCTTCATCCTTGTCTTAATGACCTTTTGCTTTCAACTTGTTTGATGATTTTTATGTCATCTCAGAACTCTTCTGGTCTTCAGTCATTGGTGTCTAATTCATCAAATCTGTTCTTGAGATGACCTCTAAATTCATGTGGCATGTGTTCAAGGTCAAATTTTGATGCTCATAGACTTGTTTTAATTTTCTTCAGCTACAGGCTGTACTTGTATATATAAGCAATTGATGGTCTGTTCAACAAGTCTGCGTGTGGCCTTGTTTTGGCTGTTAATACAGATTGGAGCTTTTCCACTGTCTCTTTCCACAGATGTAGTCAATTTGATTTCCAAATATTACATCAGCTGAGGTCCATGTGTATAGTCATTTTTTATATTGTTTTTCAAAGGTATTTTCAGGAGCCATCAAGGCAAGTGGTCATGTCCCCTCAGGGCAAATCCCCTTCCAAGACTAAGACTCAAGGGTAAGATAGGAATAGGCATGTAATCTTGCTGGTGACCACGTTGGTCACCGATACGTGGAAGTGGGGAAAAACAGCAATAAAGTTGTGAGCTAAGTCCAACCATGTTCAATAGACTCCTGTGAACCTGGGTTGAGATCTGGTTGGCCAGCAGTATGGCAAGACCTGGGGACTCTTGGGCCCAGGGCCAGGGACATAGCCATAGAGTACTAGAGTGGAAAGTGAAGTATCCAGCTGATATGAAGTGAGGGGAGAGGCACAAGAACACCCATACTTGCAGATAGTACACACTTGACCTGGCTTCAATGGCTGGATGATCAGAACTCAACTAAAAGAAGAAAGAAGAGGGGAAAAAAGAGTGATCTACTACAACTTGATGAACTTGACCTATACTTGTAGTAGCTCAAAAGAGGGAACAAATCTTCACAGCAAGGATCATTCCACCCCCTGATACACAGGGTCGACAGGGATGAGCAACTTAGACATTGGCTACCCAAAATGGGGGGGAGGGGGGCTACAAAGGCAAGAAGTGACTGACTTACAAGCTTTCAAGAAGGAGCCTAGTTCCAGAGGTTGCAGAGAAGGTACAATCTCCATTGAGTGGTTTCCAACCTGTCTGGGTGGGGCTGATGAAAGGAGATGGGGTTAAGATTCTTGTGGTTCCATAGTGAATAATCGCTATCAGGACTGACCGTGAATGTTGGAAATGTAAAGGTAGATGTTTTGTAGCAAAAGGAGGGGAGTAGTTGACTTTGCGGTCCAGGACCAGAGGTCCCTGGGATCATCAAGGGAGAACAGCAGAGTGCAGGACTCTTTATCAAGAGAAGCAGTGACACCAGAGATGGAGGCAGAGATGATGATGCTGAGAGATGGAGTGGCTGGGGACTCTGGACTCAGGGAGGAAGAGGATCTGTATACTGACGGCTGGGGGGCAGACTTGCAGGATGTACCCTTTGGTTGTTTGATGATACATGAAAGGGATTGTAATCATTGCAATGAAACAAAGTATGATAGAATGAATGTAAAGCTAATGTTCTCCCATGTAAACTATCACATAATTCACAATAAAAGCTTTAAAAAAAAAAAAGAAGTATTGGCAATGAAGTCATTCATTTTGCAAAATTCTATCCTCCAATCTCCAGCATCATTTCTATCACAAAGACACTTTCAATGACTGATCCTTGTTTCCAACCTTTGCATTCCAATCCCCAGTAATTATCAATACATTTTGACTGCATGAATGATCAATTTCACACTGAAGAAGTTAGTAGGATTCAATTACATCATCATTGGCTTCAGTGATTGGTGCATAAATTTGAATAGTGGTATTAATTGGTCTTCCTTGTCAGCATATGGATATTATCCTATCACAGACAGTATTGTGCTTTAAGACATATTTTGATATGTTCTTTTTGATGATGAATGCAACAACATTCCTCTTCAATTTGTCATTCCTGGCATAGTATAAACCATGTGATTGTTAGATTCAGAATGGCTAATGCCAGTCCATCAGCTCACTAATGCCTAGGATATCAATGTTTATGCATTCCATTTCATTTTTGACAATTTCCAATTTTCCTAGATTCATACTTCGTACATTCCACATTCCAATTATTAATAGCTGTTTACAGCTTTTCTCTTTACTCTGAGTTGTGCCCATTAGCAAATGAAGGTCCTGAGGGCTTTACTCCATTCCCATCATCATGGTCAACTCTACTTTGAGGAGACATAAACTGAGTGCCTTCCAACCTGAAGCGCTTACCTTCTGGCACTACATCTGGAAATATTCTGATTTCAGTATTCAATATTCTGGTGCTGACAGTGTTCCACTGCTATTCATATGGCTTTCGATGACTAAACATTCAGAAATAGTCTGTCTCTCCTCCTTCTTAGTTTGTCTACATCTGGAGGCTCAGCTGAAACCTGTCTATCTGGGTGACCCTGTTGGTATTTGAAATAACCTATGGCATTGATTCCAGATTCATGGCAACATGCAAGACACCACAGAATGACAAACTGACAGATGAGTGGTGGAGCATATACAAGGCCAAATGTTGAAAACTTAGATAAAATCAAGGAGCTCTGGTAGTATAGTAGTTATGAGTTGGGCTGGTAACCTCGAGGTCAGCACTTCAGACCCACCACCAGCTTCACAGGAGGCTTTCTGCTCCCGTAAAGATTTACAGCCTCCAAAATCCTATGCAGTATTGCTAGGAGGCAGAACCAACTCCATGGCACACTATCACCACCACTACCACCAGAAGACATAGCCAAACAACTTGAGGAAAAGAGTCCCTAGGCCTGGGGCCTCAACACAATCGTCTCAGGGACAGGAAGGTCAATTGGCACAGCACTGTCCACAGAGACAATGTTCTACATCTTGCTTTGGTGTCTTAAAACACCATACGCAGCCCTGTAAAGTGAACTCCCTGTCTAGAGGAAAGAAGAGTGATAAAATGTGAACTCATGGACCATGTGAACACCAGTCTCCACAACCTTCACCCCACACCTAGCTGGTACCAATTTCTCTGAAAAGGATCACCTTAGAATGTCCTTGATAGAGTGTGAAAAAGTGTGGAATAAAACTCAAAATCATAAAGGAAACCAATTTTACTAGTCAGATAGACTGGTGGAACCTGAGATTATGGCCTTGTCACCCTTTAGGCCTAATATCACTTGAACTCATCCCCATGGGTCAATGTCCAACCAAACAATAGACAAGTCTTCAAGGGGAAAGGTGATAGTAGTGAGGTAGGCATACTTGAGCTAGCAACCATGTATGATCAAAAGATGGCATTTGTCCAAGGAGAGAGTTGGAAGGGTTAGGAAAGAAGGAATGGGAACAGAAAACATAAGAAGCAAATGGAATAAATGATGTTACATGGAGAGGACTGTAATCAGTGAGGAGAAACAAAATGACTTGTTAAATGTACAGCTAATGATCTGCTCTGTAAACCCAATTCACAATATAAATTCCACCATAAAACTCCATTTAAAAAAATGGAATTAAAAGATAATGGGATATTCCTACCAAATTAAAGATAGATGAAAGTATTACTGTATTTGTCATCCTGTCGCCACAGAATGAACCTCCCCTTAGACTGGAACTGGGCCTTCCCTGATCTACACAATGCCTGCATGCCTCAGCAAGAGGGCCCTGCTGTGGTGCTGGGGGATTCCACATGGTATGATTTACTGTCCAGCAGAACCTTTGGATTGTGTTTGATCCAATATTACACCATGGGAGGAAGCCTTGTAATCACAGATATTCAGTAACTTCTCTAAGGTTGCCTAGTTGACTGCAATGGAATATAACATTCGAACTCAGATACTGATACCAAACCCAATGCCCCTTCATAAACAGCCCACACTTCAGGACCACAAGAGATGGACTTGAATAGAATGGGAGAAAAATGCTAAACTAACTCAAATTCTTAACAAGTCTAAATGTACTAAAGCAACTGACAAGGGAGGACTGCCTGACACAATTACCAAAACTATCCCAATTTTACCTTTTAGTGAAACAGACTGGCACACAATTAGTAGGGTGTTTCATTTTTAAGCCAGTTATATGAGACTACATGGAGCCCTGGTGTGACATTGTAGGATAATCACTGGACTGCAATGTCAGTTTGAACCAAAAGATGGGTGGTTCAAAGTCAACCAGCTATTCCTTGAAAACCCTATACAGGGTGGCTAAGAGCCAGAACTGATTGGATGGCATTTAACATATGCAACTAAAAGTCACTAATGACTCTGAAGCAAAGATGAGACAACAAGCAGGGACAGGGAAATTAAGAGTACTGGAAATGGAGCAACCATTTTTGTGATCTTAAATTCAAAGTAACAGTCCACCCACTCCTGGTACAGGCAGGGAGCTCCTCGAGACAAGTGCTAGGCTTGTTGGCCAACAAGGAAAACCTTGAGCTGTCTAGTTTTGTGAAGCTATGTGTTTCGTGTCTACAAAGACAATGAGAGGTTATTTCATATCCCAGCAAAGAGTTGGTACCACAAACCAGTAGTAGACAGATGTGAGTGGTTTATACACACTAAGCCTTGGCATCGTCTGTAAAGGGCAAAAAGGCAATACTCCCCCATCAGAGGGCAGAAGTGAGGAACTAACAAACCAGGATCCTCATTCTGTCTGGGCTGCTGGGCTGCCTCCTCAGGAACTTGGTTCTTCTCTGCCATTAGTTTGGTCCATCCAAGCTTGGAGTAAAAGTATCATTACATCCCAGCCTGGCCCCTACTTCCTCTCACTTCCACTTCCTACCCCTAAGCAATGCTCCATCCCCAACCCCTTCCACACACTGACACAGAAACAGTGAGAACCTGAACAAGAACCTCACGTTCTCTAGAATGATGACTTAAAACTAGGCATTAAAAGTAAGAAACCATAAAATAAAATTTTATTAAAACATCTCTATAGCTAGGGAGTGGGTAGGAGGAACAAGGCCCCCTCGGCTGAGGGCCATGGACCACAGAGCAGGGGAAAAGCTGCCTTACTGTTTCTTGTCTGGGCTTCCTGTTAGAAGCTTCCCTTGGCTAGAGAGGGTCAGCGTGGACACTGTGGGAGATTCCAGCTTTACTCTGTCCAAGAGAGTCTTCTTGAGGGCGGCTGGGGAGATCTTTTCTTGGTCAGCCATGGACTGCAGTTCTCTGCAAATACAGCCCCAGGGGCATGAAGAAGCAAGACAGTGAATCTTGGAGCCAGAGTTTCCCAACGCTTCTCCATTCACATAACCACCAAACCCATCAACCTAATACCACCAACATTAGAATCCCAAAACAAATGCTTCCTAGAATAGATATGTAACTACCTATAATCTGCTTCTGCGAAGACATACAGCCTCCTGAGTCCCTGGGTGATGTAAATAGTTAATGTGCTAACCAAAAGGCTGGAGGTTCAAATCCACCCAGAGGTACCTCAGAAGAAAGGTCTGGTGATCTGCTTCCAAGTTATTCAAACTGCAAGCTCACCAGACGCTCCTCGGAAACTCTACACAGGGTTGCTATGGGTCGGAACCGACTCAATGGCACTTAACAACAATAAATTCTATCGATACTGTGAGTATCGATCACTGTGAGTCAGAACCAACTCTTTTACTTAATGAATTCCACATTACTTAATATTGTTGTTATGTGCCATGGAGTTGGTTCCAACTCAAAGCAACCCTGTACAGGGTTTCTGAGGCTGTAAATCTTTACGGGAGCAGAAAGTCTCATCTTTCTCCCGCAGAACAGCTGGTAGTTTCAAACTGCTGACCTTGCGGTTCGCAGCCTGATACATTGTGCTTCTGCTGACCTTGCGGTTCACGCCTGATTCGTAACCACTATGCTACCAGTGCTCCTTTACATCACTTAATAGGTTTTATCTTATTTTATTTAAATTAGATTGAGAGCTCTCAGGGATGTGGTCATAGGAGAGAGAGAATGTGGACAAATCAGTTGCTTTGGGAGTCAGACGTGAATTCTACTTCCATCATTTATAAGTTGTTTGACCTTCGCAAATTTGTTTGTCTCTTAGCCTCAGAGTCCTTATGGATAAATAAAGCTAATCCCAGTCATCAGAACTCATGGAGCACTAAATGAAGCAAATGCCTGCAAACCCTTAGCTAAACATAGTCTAACAAACGGAAGTTTTAGTCTCAGCACCGACCCCAGCACCACTAATCGGACTAAGATAGCAGGTTCTACAAGACAAGCACCCATCCCAAACCAGGAAGCCCTGGGGCAGGCAGAAGATGGACCCACCGTGTTCGGATGCAGGAGGCCTCAACAGCTTTAATGAGCAGGGACCGGAAGCCCCCACTCTCCAGGAAGTGCAGGGCATGGATGGTGGCACCTCCGGGGGAGCAGACATTGTCTTTGAGCTGACTTGGGTGCTCCTCTGAGTCCAGCAACATCTTGGCAGCTCCCTATGGCAGGCAGGAAAGGAGCATGAGAGAAGAAGGCCACTGAAGCATCCTGCAATGGACTCGCCTCCAAAGTCCACTCCCCAACCCTAGTTCCCCAACAAGCCCTAACTGCAGCTCAATGACCCATCAGAATCCATCCTCACCCTGAACCATACAGATAAGATACTAACCAACAAGGCCTGGGCCCCCAGTCTCACTGCCAGGCGCCGCGGGAGGCCCATTTTCACGCCACCATCAGCCAGGGCATCCAGGGCCATGAACGCATAGGCAGGACCGCTGCCACTGAGCCCTGTGACAGCATCAATGAGGTCCTCCTCCACCTCAGTGCAGAAGCCCACACTGCTCATGAGCTGCTCCAGGAGCCGCCCATCCTCCACCAGGGCGTGGGTGCCCGTGGCATACACTGTGGCACCCTCCCGCACCACCACGGGCGTGTTGGTCATGCAGCGAATCACCTTGGGGGCTGGCTGGAATGCCATCAGCTTCTGCAAAAAAGAAAAAGTCCAAGCGAGTTACCAGGGAAAAACTCCTCACAGCACCCATCCATTCACGTGCACCTGCCCTCTTACACAAGGCTGGGATATGCACCTTCTCCACTGAGCTGATTGTGACACCGGCCGCACAGGAGACGACTATGTGTCCGGCCTTAACGTCAGCCCCGATCTCATCCAGGATGAAGGGGATGATGTGTGGTTTCACAGCCAGGAAGAGGACGTCGCTGCGCTGCACCGTCTCCTTGTTGCTGCGGGTCAGGTTCACGCCCATCTTCTGCAAGAGAGAAGACCAGGGCTCAGTGCTGGATGAGCGGCCTGAGTATGCCCAGTACACAGCAGGGGCAGCGGAAGCTGACCACGCCCACTCTGCCAGCTGTAACTGGAATCCCCTCCCTTGCCTGCTTTGGGTTCCACTCCTACCCCACATTGGCATTTTTCCATTGCTTGTTGTTTAGTGCCCTTGACTCAATTCCTACTCAAAACGACCCTGTATAGGGTTTCCGAGGAGCAGAACTACAGACCCTGTCATTCAAACTGACCTTGTAGTCCAGTGCTTATCCTTCAGTGTCACAACAGGATTCCAGGGCAAATGGGCAAGGAGCTTTGTCATGGTAACTAAAAGTATGTAAAGGCACCCTGGTGGTGTAGTGGATTGGGAGATGGGCTATTAGCCCAAGGTCAGCAGTTCAAACCTACCAGGTGCCCCATAGGAGTAAAATGACGTTTTCTGGTCTCATAAGGATTTATAGCCTTGGAAACCCTATACCGGGGTTGCTCTGGGAGTCAGAACTGACTCATAGGTACACCACTGCCATCAGAAGTAGCTATCCTCTGAGCCCCATCAATCCTCACACACCCACTGGGCGTCTAGTTGGAAAATAGCATAGTGCCTATGGTTGTTACAAGAGCTGGGTCAGGAATTTCCCAACCCCGGCAACATGTTCGGTAGATCAGCCTCCATGTACTTCACTGGCATGGGCTGCTGGGGGACACCCATCTCTCCAAACCGGAAGCATCAACCCATCCTAGACACAGACTTTGCTGGTATTCTACCCTACCTATTACCCATCCTCTGCCCTTAGTTTAGGAGGAAGATTTGACATATTGTCTTTAGAGAGACAAGCAACTAGCCAATTCTTCCCCAACACACTCATTCACATCTCTGAACTCAGTGAAGTAATTGTCTATTTTATAAATAAGGAAATGAGCCTTAAGGTTAGTCAGTAAATGAAGAAAAATAAAAATGAGTCCCTACTAGCTATGGGTCGGAACCGACTCGATGGCACTTAACAACAACAACAACAACAACTAGCTACCAGGCCTGCGAAGTCTGTTTGACCCACAAGGTCGGCAGGTCAAGCACACCAGCTGCTCCTCGGAAACCTATACAGGATCACTATGGGTCAGGATTAACTCGATGGTACTTAACATCTACCAAAGAGTCCCTGAGTGGTGCCAACAGTTTTGCTAACCAAAAGGTTGGAGACTGCAATCTACCCAGAGGCTGCTCAGAAGGTAACCTACTTCTCAAGATCCACCTTTGAAAATCCTATAATGTAGCTGTACTCTGACACACAAGTGGTTCTCCATGAATTGGAAGCAACTCAATGGCAAATGTTTTTTACTGGTGGTGGTGGTGATGTGCCTGGAGTTGACCCTGCACAAGGTTTCCAAGGTTGTAAACCTTTACAGGAGCAGAAAGTCTCACCTTTCTCCCACGGAACCACTGGTTGTTTCGAACTGCTGACCTTAAGATTAGCAGCCTAACCATTATGCTACCACAGCTCCTTTGTAAAAACTAGGTGCTCCTAAAAGAGTGTTCCATACATCATTTAATCCTCCACTGTTTGATTATGAACTTGTCTGCCAGAATCCTTCTACCACACTGGGCTACTCCAGAGATGGCGGATCTGTGACACCTCAGGTGAGGTGATCAGGATACCAGGTAGACTCCCTCATAGTGGAGCCTCCTTCTCCTGGACCCCACACCCTGTTTCACAGTCCTGCTAACCCACCTACCCTGAGAGCTGACACTGTGGGCAGATCCATTTCCGGGGAGCTGGCTATTATCTTGTGGCTGGACAAGATACCTGCAGAAGAAGACAGAGGTGTTCACCTAGCTTTTCCCATCCTTCCCCTGAGAAAACACTGAAACCCACCCCCCACACACCCCCACCCTCTCAAATCTTTCCTCGACATGACAAGAATCTCTTCTACACGACCAAATGTAAATCCCCCATTCATTCACTTCACTCTCACGGGGTTCGAGACTAGGCGAAGGGACCGCCGCGTACCCGTCCCCAGCCCCAAGTTCTTACCTGCGGCAGTGAAGCCTCGCGCCAGGGCACAGGCCAGCTGGCCGGCACCGATGAAGCCCACGCTCATGGCCCTGGTAGCTGCGGAGTCGGCTCAACGCGCGCCAAGACTGCTAGCAGGGAAGAACTGAGAGTGCGGCCGTTTCCGGGTACAGGTTTAGTGAGTTCTGGGTCTGTTTTGGGTTGCGTGGAATGCTCTCAGCTGGCACCAGATCAGGGTCCCAGCGCACAACAAGGTGAGATCTCTGTATCGGACAACCTTGCTCTTCTTATTCCTGTAGGCTCCGCAGGTTCCCACTGGCTCCGCCCATCCGGGCGGCCAATCTGCGGCCGGGATATCAGAATGGGCCAATAGGAGGCCGAGCCGAGGCGTGTGCCTGCATCCGCTAGAGTGTGGGCGGCACCCCGGAGCAGAACCTCCGAGGCCCGGATGTCAGCCTGTTGTTACTTAGCCCCTCACCTGCTCATGGGTGCTACAATGCTCTGAACACAGGGCTCATGTTTTTGTCTCAGGTCATCAGCCCCTCTCTTGCCTAAAGGACTTCCCCACCTAAAGGTGGAGCTGAAGGAATGAATGAAAGCTTCCTGACAGGCTTGCAGTGTCCTGGGATTCACAGGGATGGAGCCGGGAGGCACCTGTCTCCGCCCACTCCCTCCCGGGCTGCCAGGGAAGAGGGCAAGCATACACTTCTTTGTTCATTTGAACCTCTGTTTATGTCAACTTAACTGGATCGCAAATAGGATCAGTTTCTCCGTTTAGGAAATTATAGGGTAGAAAATCTCACCTCTCTAAGGCCTGACTAAAATATAAACAAGCCTAGAACCCCCTTCTATCCCCACTGCCACTTGATTTTAAAAGCTTCACAAATGGACTTTTCTTACTTGGGTGCATCCAAGAGAACACAATCTTTTTTTCTGTTGTTGTTTTTTTTTCCTATTTTCTCTTCCTATCTTTCCTTGTAATGTGTATAAATCCGGTTCCCTCTGCAGTTTGTTCCTCACACCGATTAGCAACTTAGCAACAACACAATAGAAATGAAAAAAAAAAAAAAAAATGAATTCAAAGCAGAAAATTATATGGAATAAAGAAACTAGGAGCACCACAAAAAATAAAAACAAAGCAAACAAACATACACGCAGCAAAATGACAGCAATCAATTCATACCTATAGATAATTAACATTGAACATAAATAAATTGAGTATATCTGTCAAGAGACAGAGCAGGATGGAGAAGAAAACAGGATCCTGCAATATGTTGTCTACAAGAGAAATATCAAAAAGATGGAGACAGCCTAAATGCCCATCAA